ACTCTTCATTGTATTGAATAAGCATATTTCAGATTCCACCAGTTTGTGGATCCCATCAGATGAGGATTATCCACCCATTTATGAAATTAGTGATTATGATAAAATGTGTGTCTTGAATTACATTTTTGACAATACACTTGACATGAGGTATTTATACTATATACCAATTCTCACATGTTATTCTTATATATTGTGGGAGCATCACCGGTTATTAATCCATATTTTTCATGAAACAGTGAAACATTGGTGAGACTTGAAACATGTTCTGCCAATAGATATTCATTTATTTAATCTCTACAACCAAGAAAATGGTTGTTAGACATTGTGAGTTAAAAATGTACATTTTATTTATTGTGTTTTCCACTCATTGACCAAGTATTGATTTTGTACATGTTGACATGAAGATAATAGATTTGGCATCTTGTATTATTTCCGAATGATGTGAAGTTTAATCCTTTTACAAAAAGGTCAAGGTGGTATCTACCCACATGGTTTGCGGTAATGTGTTTTATTTGACTTTTTTAATCTTGAATATGTAAAATGTGGGTTAAATGTGTACCCATATTTGACGTTCAATACCCAGCAAAAGCACTTGGAAGGGTAAGACAAGGAAACGAACAAGAAAAAACAATCGGACTGCTTGATTGTCGAAGGTACTTCATTTCAAATTTCAAGGACTGTGTGATAAGGTACTAGATGTCCCATTTTTTTTTTTTGTTTATAATTGCTCATTTACACAATAATTAATATCTTGTATTTCTTTATGTAGATATATATACCCATGAACGACAATAACACTCATTGGTATTTATGCGTGGTGATGTAGTGAAGGAAAAAGTTTTATTATTTGATTCTCTACCATTATATCCGAACAATATCCGTTATTCTGTTGTTGCAAAAGTGATTAAACAATTAGATCAAGTATTTCCGCTTGTCATACCTAATTACATGCCAACATTGACCAAGTGGCACATATATGGAGTGGATTAGGCTCCTAGGCAAACGAATAGCTATGACTGTGGAATATTTGTCATAAAGGAGATGCATGCTCAATTTTTTGATCAGTCATTCAAAATTATGGTATGATAGCTATTCTCCGTATTTAATATTTAATAGTACTAAATTAAATTTGTGTATATACCATTTGTCAATTTAACTATGGTTATTGGTTATTGTTTTTAGGATGAATCCAATACGATGCGGAAGGATCTAGCATTCAAAGTTATTACTCACATATACAACGAATCAAAAAACAAGATCATAAGCAAGGCACAACAATACCAACAAAAGAATTGTGATAAAAATCGAAGATGATACGTGTGACATATTATTATTATTATTTTTGTATACAAAATTTGAAGTCATGTATAGTGTTTATGGCCTTCATATAGTGGCACATACTGATTGTTTTGTATAAACAAAAATAGCTAAATTGGAATCAATTCTTTTGTGCCAATGTTTTGCTGAATCAATTGGCTTGTTTTGGCGAATCAATTTTTTTTGCCTTTGTTTTGCTAGCCATGGGGTGGTGGTTGTATTTTGTTGAATTAATTTTTTTTTATGGCTTGTGTTTTGCTGACCGAGGTTTGGTGATTTTGGTGATTTGTGATGTTTGATGTGCGAAAATATGTAGACATTGTTTCTTTTTTTGTGCAGGCCATTTTTTTTAATGGATCCCTTGGCGTTTTGTCATCCTTTGTCTTATCATTTCTAGGAAATGATCAAAGCAATAGGAGTCCGGGTTAGAACATAGGAGTACGTTGATGAGAAGGATGAACATAAATATGAATAATGTGGAGTCATTCCTTATATAAGGCTACAGTAGCCAACAAACCATTCTCACTAACCATTATTACCCATCATTCTTACCAACCATTCCCGTTCAAATGGAATTCAAAGACTTTGACAAGTAGTTATACAAACGGTGTTTTTTTATTTGCAATTTTTTTGTTTGGTAGGGACTATTATATATAACATAACATAAAACATAGTGTAACTATATTGTTTTTGAGATTAATTCTATTCATCTTCTTCATTTTCATCGTCCAGGCACCTCAAGCTATTGTATGTCATAGTTACTTATATATAACCTACACCTGAATTGACATGCACACATATACAAACAGCAGTGTGCACGCCATTTTCAGATGTAGGTTTCATATAAATAGTTTTATTCACAATAATAGCAATGCTAAAGAGGTGAAAGTTTGCTGTTGGTGAGATATACTTGTTGCAGCTATGTGCTGTGTTTTATGATAGATTGTTCTTTTATTTTTTTCCATAATGTGACTTCATTCACATTAATATGTTCACATAGAAAGAACAGGTTGTCGGATATCATGGCCATATGGTGTACCAGTGCTATTTCAATAAAGCATGATACGAGAATTATTACATAACCCGTGCACACCTTCAGAAAGTGTTGACAGAGAAGGGTAAGCAATTGAATTTTCCCCAACTCTATTTCAATTTTCCTAGTATTCTGCACTACCAGAAAAATCTGGTAACATTACTCCAAAAAAGAGGTAATATTACCAAAAAAAATTACAGGGAACCTTGAAAAGTGGTAGTCGTACCCAAAAAAATTGATATTCTTTCCCCAACTTAGAAAGGCAATACCCACAAATCTGGTAACATTACAACACCCACATTGAAATGTCTTTAATAAAAAAAATTTTAAGAAAAGAAAATTTTATTGATATGAATCAAAAAATTGCAAGAAACAAAGAGCATTGCACCTTACAAGAATCAAAGAATTCATGAATAACAAACAAAACATAGCCATATTTGGCTTTAATCCTTCAAGATACACAAGTATTACCAACATTATTTCTAGTAAACTCTCCTCCACCATCCACTACAGTATACCTCATGTAGCTTCATTAACCACCATCATCAAAAACCAAACCAGTCTTGGTTCGCAAAGTAGGCAGACAAGTCTGATCTTGAACCAAACTCATTCTAACAGCATTCTTCCCAAAATTTGCCTGATCTGTGTGAGAAAATCAGTAAATGGCCAAGCAAATTTCACTTCTCCTTTAATTGTTTTCACAAAAGCCATAAAATCTGATTCAACTTGAATATTATAAATAGTCAAACCATATCTTTCTACCAAACTCAATCCATCCACCATGGCTCCAAATTCAACTCCCATATTCAAACAAATACCATAGGAAAAGGACGCAACCGAAACCACTGCCAGAACTCTATTTATACACAATATGCACTGGAAAAATTACAAAATTACATCATCTATTTATACACAATAAGAGGTGAAAGTTTGTTGTTGGTGAGATATACTTGTTGAATGAGCCATATTTGGCTTTAATCCTTCAAGATACACAAGTATTAACAACATTATAATAGAAAACTCCTACAACTGTCCCACTGCATACTCATCAATGGCATCGACCATGTAAAGGACCTCATACCCCTTCTTCTTCAACTTCTCAAGGAATGGAGAGTTCTCAAGGAATTGTAGGACTACGTCAAGGGTTCCACACATATGAAGGCTGGATAGTCATTGTTGAGACTTCCCTGGGCTGCACTACCCAGCCAAAATAGTTTCACATTTCTGCATAGGCAGAAATTAAACGAGAACAGTCATATGGCACACTAACTATGATTTGAAAAAATTTAATTCTGCCATTGGAATACTCTTTTTGTGATTTTCGATTGTAGATATGTGGTTCATACTGCTGCAAGACCCTAAACAACAGGTAAAAAAAGAAAAAGAAGAGCAAATGCGAATAAAATCCAATAGGGTACATGCTTTGTTTTTCCATTGGTCTTTGTAACTCTCAGAGCTTTTAATTTCAAGATGACTTCAAGATAATTTCAAGATTCACACTAAGAAGAATCATGCAGAAAGGACAAACGCTTGAGTTTTGATGACGCGATGAAAATGTGAAGGTAAAACAAAATAATATTGCAAACAATATATTTTAAACCTACTTGCATCGCGGTGCATTGTGCTTAAAACCACAACATATATAGCATGGTTTCTTCCGTTTTCTCATAGTACAGTTTGCTGCTGTGTGATCATCTTCACCACAATTGTAGCACATCCCCCAACTGCTTTCTGTGGAATCAAAATATCTTGGATCCCGCTACAACATCAATATAGCATGTATTTAATGGGGGCAAAATAAGCATTTACATCAAACAAGTCCTTGTACTTGTAGGTTAACTCACGAGAAACTTTCGAAGCACCATATTGTCATTTCTCTTAACTAGTTGCATTTCTAGCGATGTCTTTGTTTTTGGATTTGTATTTGAATCCATCTACTTCTCTTCCTCCACAGTATGAGTCTAGAGCAACAAAATTGTTAGAAGGCATCAGTTTAAGAAACTGAAAGGAAATTTAATTCTCATCCATCTTTTCTTAAAAACAAATGAGGTGCAGTCCTACAGAGATCTAGTGCCACAACATAAAATTCAAAATGTGAGCTGAGTAAACCAATAAAATATAGCATACAAAAGGTGAAAGCACGAACTTATAAACGACACTTGTAAGGGTAAATATAGAAAACATTCTAAGGAAAATAATATATAATCAAAGCTAAGTATCTGATTTCTTCATCCACTCAGTCCCAAATTTTTTTTGAGGAATATGAACCACAAACTGTGTCACATGCATCACCATTAGGAATTGCTTCCAAAACTCCACAATATGGAGAAACTTAAAAAGAAGAAATAGCTTCTTACAGTCTAAAAAGAGTGCCTCCTCATGATCTTTAGAACAAAACTACAAAGTGTAGCCTGGACAGGCAAATAAAGCTTGAGCTTAAAATTTAATCCTTCTTTCATAAGCATGGACATGGACAAGGGTGACAGACATGACACAAAACCCAACATGAAAAATCTTCAAGTAGGAGACAGACACGGAAAGAACATGGAACAAACATTGCAACCATTGCTTAGCATGGGAATCACACTGGTTATAGGAAGTGTTTCTTAGAAAAATCTTCTAGATTCTGATTATCTCATCAGATGCATAATCAGCTATTTGTTGCGCCTAAGCAAGCACCCCTAATGTACCTGCTAGCAGATTCCTGAATCATAAAGAAAGAGGACAAGATTAGTTAGAATTCTATATCAATATGCTACTTGGACCACATCATCTGACCCAAGTCTTTGAATTAATCCATTGATGTCCTTGAACTAACAGTTGATCTCATCCAATATTAACACCTTTTAGATAAGCAATTCAACAAAGTTATGACCTTACTTACACCTCAATCAGTGCACTTCCATAGTCATATACATATAGAGAGAGCACAAATTATCTTTAAAACTTACTGGGTGCCTCTGGGACCCATCATTCTCAAACACCATAGCTGCTTTTGTTTCCAACACTTTTCTTATCCTCCCAGTTTCTTCCACCTATACCAAGGCAAAGTTTTAGATGTTGATTACAAAAGGCCGCTGTAAACAAAAGATGATTTCAAAGAAAATGATTTCATATGCTATTTAAAACAAATAAAGCAACCTTTTTTTGTTCTTTTTTCCTCCTTTGACAAATGATTATATTTTCTTAAAAAAAAACTATTTGTCTTCTGCAACTAAAAATGTTGTGTGTTTTGAGAGAGAGGGGGCAAAAAAGATAAATTCACATTCCCACAAATAAATGAGAGATTCAATCTAACAATCTGAAATTCATAGTTCTTTAAAAAAATGTGTGAAATTAGTATTAGAACATACCATTGCATTTGGACCTACAGAAAGAGGTATCATTTGCTGCTTCTTCCTCTTCTTGTTTCTATTTCCTCTCTTGCTCTTCTTCCTCATTCTTGCCCTGAAAGCCAACATCGCAGTGAGCTGTGGGAAGCTGCTAAAATCCGCCAACATTTTGCGTTCTTTGGATTTAGTCCTATATACATACTCCTCTTTAACCCCACCACCACCATTCGATATAACAGTGGTGAACAACTTTCCCTCATTCTGATCTTCTTTTGCCTTTCTGTTCTCTCTCTCTGATCCATTATTCTAATCATTTTTCACAGCTTCATCACAACTGCTATCCAGTGAAATCACTCGTATTTCAGATTTTGAGTTCTCATTTGCTGCCATTTTCTTTGGTTCCTCTATAACCCAACAACCAATATTTGATATAATGTTGTTCAACACTTTGTCCTCTTCCTATTCTTCTTCTTCTCTAAATTCTCTCTCCAATCCTTTGTTCTGATCATTTATCAAATTAGAATTATACTCATTACTGCATGAGAACATATCGTGCCCAGAATCGCCACATCTTAAACAGATAACTAAACTTTGATCCTCTGCTACATATTTCTCTGGAAAATCTTTAGTGAGGTAGCCTTGTCCATTGTAGATATGTAGTTCATACTGCCGCTATAAGACCCTAAACACCCAAAAAAAGAATAAGAGGAAATGTGAATGAAATCCCACATGGAAAACTGCAGAAAGTAACATACCTTCTTCATTCCTAATTTCTTTGAACCTTTAAGGAAAGAACATTTGCAATGTTATTCTTTGTCAATTTTAAACCTTACATACACCTCAATCAATGAGAGATTCAATGTTACAATCTAGAATTAATAGTCAGCAAAAATAATGCCTGAAATATTAGTATCAGAACATACCATTGCATTTGAACCTACAGATTCAATCTTTTGCTGCTTCTTCCTCCTCTTGTTTCTGTTTCTTTTCCCTCTTGTTTTTGTTTCTTCTCCTGCTCTTCTTCCTCATTCTTGCTTCGAAAGCCAACATCATAGTGACCTATGCAAAACTGCTCAAATTCGCCAGCATTTTGCGCTCTTCGGCTTTGGTCCTATATACATATTCCTCTTTAACCCCACCACCACCATTTGATATACCGGTGTTGAACACCTTACCCTAGTTCTGTTCTTCTTGTTCTGCTTCTCTGCTCTTCTTCTACTTCTCTGCTTTCTCTTAAATCCTTCATGTCAAACATTTTTCATAGCTTCATCTTCACAGCTATCCAATGAAATCACTTGTATATCAATTTTTGAGTGAAATCACTAAACTACAAACAATTTTAATTTATTTTTTCGTTATTCCGTGTCTAAAGACACGAGCAATTAGACACAAGCAATTACTAGTATAATAATATGAATGAACAAATTAATTACCAACAAATGCATAACAAAATTTTAGGTTTTTTCAAAATCTAAAACACCCAAACTATAACATCTATTCAAACTATAACAAAACTTATCAAACTTATTTAAAAAAATATAACATTCAAAACACCAATTGGTTAAGTTGTGGGGGGCAGGTTGCACAGAACGGAAAAGGGGGAAAAGGTCTGCGTAAGAGGGGAGTTTGGGTGGGGGAGGTGTTCTGTGTGTGTTCTTGGGGGTGGGTTGCGCTTTTCCAGAGGGTGAAGAGGGGAGGTCTGTGCAGAAGGATAGCTTTGAGGGGAGGTGGGTTTGTGTCTGAGTGTGTGTATTGAAAATAGGGACTGGAAAAGGAGGGTTTGTGCATGTGGGTTTCAAGTAGAGGATGCAGAGAGGGGAGGAGAGAGAAATACCTTGAAGATGATGGCGTTGTGGCGGTGGCATTGTGGTGCTGTCGAGTCGTGTGTGCTGCGAGACAAAGAAAGACAAGAGATAGAGAGAGAGAGAATTTCAGGCTAAGAGTTAGGCAAGGGAGGGGAAGCATCTGAGAAGAGGGAGAAGTGAAGAGTTGGTTTCATGGGGAGCGTGTATTGCGTGTTGGGGAAGCCTCCCGTCAAAATAGAAATTTGAAACAATTAATTGAAAATTTTTAAATAAATGATTTTTTTTTATCAAAAAAAAATCGTTTAATAAAAAAAGTGTTCCTGTAAAATAAATAAATTCCTCACATATTTAACTAAAATAATATCTATAAAATCCTAGCATAAAACAAATAAAATTAAATATATTTAAATCATACCTAACCAAAAATAATCAAGTGGTAAATGTACCAAAGTTGTAATATTATCTGGTGACCTTACTCAAATAGTGGTTAACCTAATAATTGTAATATTATGAAAAAAATCTTACCAACAAAATCTTGCCAAACCTAACCCCGATTTATGGTATCCTTTTCCAAAATAGTGGTAATCTTTTTTAAAAAAATTATAATTTTACACAAAAGTAATAAAATTATCCCCCATAAATTGCAGATAAATATTAACCAAAACTCGCAAATAAATATTAACCAAAATGTGGAACGCTTGCCCTAAAAATGGTAACCATACTCAGTAGAAGTGGTAAATTTTCCCAAAAAAATAAAAATAACAATAAATTAATATTCGATCTCATGAATAAAATAAACCACATTGGAAGTTGAATCTATCAACACTTATATTTGGTATGACTATTAAAAGTATACAAAATGAGATTTAATTTAATCAAATTAACATTCAATTACGAGATGTAAAAACAATATGTTTTGTAATCAAATTAACATTCAATTACGAGATGTAAAAACAATATGTTTTGTAATCAAATTAACATTCAATTGTGTTCTTACAAAATTACAAAATTACATCATCTATTTATACACAATAACATACTCCTAACTGTAACTATAAAACATATGCACTGCCAGAACTCTTTAAGTGACAACCCAAAAATCGGGGGTCCTTAATTTAACAAAATTTGGGCAGAGTCTTCTTTGTACGGGAAGCTCTACCCAAAACACAACCTGTGAATCAAACAATCACATGACTCATCCGAGGTTCAATATACAATATTGACCACACCGGGTCAATTTAAAAGTAAACATTGACCACATTGGGTCTATTTAACAGTAAACATATAATAGCATGCAAGATTTCATTAAAACAGTCCAAAAACCAACTTAATGAATGTTTTGCAAAAACATAGTTTTTCACAATAAAACTCTATATATACAAGTTCCATTGCAAGTAATTCCATATAATTACATGTCCAAAAACAAAATTTTTACAAAACTTTAAAACAAAAGCCACATTCCGGCTTTCTTCATCCATGGGGCTCGGATTGGGAGCCTTCCACCGGTGTGTATCCCGCACCTAAAATATTTCCCGTATAGGGTGAGCTAAGGCCCAGTAGAGTTATTCCTACAGAGACTACTTTCCACGTAAGTGCATATGCAATGTTTATATTTAACATTCATACCAAACAACATTCCAAACAAAGTATAAAATTTTATGTTGGAATTTCATCATGTCATACTATGGAATGAAATGAGATTCACTCATGCACATCCACCCGAGCCCTCACCGACTCCCATTACACAATGCAATACACGTGTAAAAACCTTTATCATTGATGGAATACATCCAATGATCATTTTTCAAATACAAACTATGTGTTTATAAAACCAACTCATTTTTTGGATGTTTCCCTTCGAATGAATACTTTATATTACAAAATCATGTGTCTTTGTTGGGTATCAGATTCCAGAATCACACCGATTGGCTCTGTACGCCATTAAAATTTTTTAGAATTTCATCTCAGGGAAGTGTGTGAACCAAGTAGCCGGGTTTTTCACCCGGGGGAGTGTCTAGCCCTTCTTGCTATACCCGACACAAGTTTTTCTTATGCAATCATGTGACTCCCTTGGATCTTCAATCCCACATTTTCGAGTTCACATATCAATCACCAAGAATGGTGTTTGATTAAACCATGCATACACACCCACACTCATGCCTAAGCCCATGAATGTGATGCCAACCTCATGCCCAAAATGCAAGGATGCCAAATGAGCAATTTCAATAGCCATGACATATCAATGTGTAATGAATGTCATATGGATTATTTCTATCATATTTCAACACTTACATTTCCAATGTAAATCATCTCATAAGCATATGATTTCAACACACCATAACATCCAAGCATGTTATTTCAATTTCATCAAAATGACATTTCAATCATTCAAGGCATTTATCAAATCCTTATACAAGGCATAATTTATATAAAACATAACATGCCTACATAACAGCCCCAAAACAGGCTGCATAACAACCCCAAAATAGTCCACATAACAGCCCCAAAACAAGCCACATAACAGCCCCAAAACAGGCCACAAAATAGCCCACATAACAGCCCCTTATGAACACTATAGGCTAGAAATGAACCGGAGTAGGAGAGAATCCTACCTCTTGAAGTGTAAATCGAAGGTTAGAACTTCAAGAACACCAACCAAAACCTCTAAAACTTGATTTTTCCAAAAATTTTCCCTTTGCATCTTCGGTGAAATCCTTCATTCTTGGTGTGGTTGCATAGCCCTCGTCGATGTGATCGAGTTTAACTCCTGGCTCGACGGATTTCGACCGACGGAACTCCGAGAATTGAAGGAGAAAACTTGAAGAAAATTGATTTATCCTCTTTTCTCTCTTCTCTTTGTCAAACGTCTGATACAGCCGGCCAAGGGGTGGAAAAATATTTGATTTTTCATATATTTGCCCCTATTTATACTTTGAATTGCATGGTCCACATCGCCCCGCATATTTACTACTTTCGGGTCCATTTTTCATCCTGAAATGATTCATTTTATCCCGGTTTAAGTTCAAAATAATTTTATTTAAATTTTTATTCAATTATAAGAAAATTTTATAAATTTCATTTTTAGGGACCTTTGAAAGGACATTCGTCACTCAATTATCTCACAACACAGTGTAAAATCTGACTATCTCAGAATTTTACGACAATTGACAGGGCAGCTCGAATTTGTGATACAAATCCAACGATGAGGTCCGTTGTGTTATCCAAGCTATAGAAAAATATGGCTGTTAAACCCGCATGATAATGACAAATTACTATTTTGCCTTTTTTTTTTTGAAAAAATTCAATTTTCTCAAATTTTTTCATTCTTCCCCCCCTTAAAAGAATTTCGTCCCCGAAATTCACACACACAAGCACATTTAACCACATGCATATGCAATAGTCATATAATACTAAATGACTATAAGAATGTACCTCTATCGTCAAATAAGAAAGGATAACTGGTACGGATAGTGTCCTCGCGCTCCCATGTTACCTTCTCCACTCCTCGGTGCTGCCACAACACTTTCACTAGCCTCACGGTCTTGCCTCGTAAAACCTGATCCCGGCTTTCCATGATATGCACCGGTCCCTCCTCGAAGGTCCCATCTGCACAAACAATAAGCTCACCCTAATCCACCACATGAGTTAGATCTGGGGTGTATTTTCGAAGCATGGAGACATGGAATACCGCATGAACACCAGATAGATTTGGTAGTAACGCCAACCGATAAGCAACTGTACCCACCCTATCGAGTACTTCGAAAGGCCCGATATACCTCAGCGACAGCTTTCCCCGCTTGCCAAACCTGATCACTCCTCTTTTAGACATCACCTTCAAGAAGACATAATCTCCCACCTCAAACTCTATATGTCGCCACTGTCTGTTGGCGTAACTCTTCTATCTGTGTCTGAGATGTGAGAAGACGCTTTTGTATCAAGTCCACCTTCTCCGAGGTGTC